AGAAAAAAAAAATAGCAAATAGTATGCTTCGATCTGCGTTCAAACTCCATAGTTCTTTCTTTGGATGTGTATAGCATTTTCCACCATGAGTTCTTTGGAGATTTCTTAGATCCTTGTATTGCTGAGAAGGGTTAAGTCTATCAATATTAATCATTGCACAATGTGGCTGTTACTATGTATAATGTTCTCCTGGTTCTGCTCACTTCACTCAGCATCAGACCATACGAGTCTTTCCAGGTTTTTCTGAAGACTGCTTGCTCATCATTTCTTATAGCACAATAGTATTCCATTACATTCATATACCACAACTTGTTCAGCCATTCCCCAATTGATGGGCATCCCCTCAATTTCCCATTCTCTGCCACCACAGAAAGAGCTGCTATAAATATTTTTGTACTTGCGGGTCCTTTTCCCATTTGTATGATCTCTTTGGGATATAGCCCTAGAAGTGCTATTGCTGGGTCAAAAGGTATGCACATTTTTATAGCCCTTTGGGCATAGTTCCAAATTGCTCTCCAAAATGGTTGGATCATTTCACAACTCCACCAACAATGCATTAATATTCCAATTTTCCCACATCTTCTCCAACATTTATCATTTTCCTGTTTTGTCATGTTGGCCAATCTGATAGGTGTGTTGTGGTACCTCAGAGTCACTTCGATTTGCATTTTTCTCTAATCAATAGTGATTTAGAGCATTTTTTCATATGACTATAGATGGCTTTAATTTCTTCATCTGAGAACTGCCTGTTCATATCCTTTGACCATTTATCAATTGGGGTGGATTTTCACTAAAAAAAGAAATGGGGGGGTGATCAAAAGAAGGTTGATCAACATAATGACCTTTAGAGTACAAGCCTTTGTTTGGGGATTTGATTGTATGTCTCTATTGAGAGTGTGGCACATGCCCACTGACAACCTCGAGGAGGGGATTAATAATATCTCCTGGACAGCAGGGATGTTTTGATTGGCTTAGCTGTTGAGGTTTGAACCAAAGCCTGACCAAGTCACAACACATGCTCTCCCTCCCCCATTCAATAAACTCCAGTGGCTCCTGATTGCCCCCAGGGTCAAGTAGAAAATCCTGTTTGCTTTCAAAGCTCGTTATAAACTCCCTACTTCCTACCCTTCTGGTCTTCTCATGCTTCGAGGTGTATGGAGCATTCAGGAGGACTAACACACCCATGCGTGGGGGATTGCTGCTCATTCAACTTTGGTGTCCACCTGCTCCCAACTCTCACCTGTGGTTCCAAGAAGCTGTAACATGCTCCGTAGCCACATGTCTCCACAGATGGGCCAAACCAGGTTGAGGGTAACTGACAAACCTCAGACCTGTCAGTGAATTAGAGGGGTGTCTACCCCAATCATGTGAAGACTTCTCCAGGTGGAATAGGTGGATGAGGACAATTTCTTCCAATGGCCATGAAGGTGGCTGAAGTGGGTGTTGTGGAGGGCTCAGAGCTTGGCACCACTGATGCCAAGGTCATCCACTGCATCCTGGGCCATCACCGAGATCATCTTGATTTTTGTCCTGCCACTGGACTTCAGTGACTCAGGAAAAGAGAGTAAGGCTGTTGAGTTTGTGCAACTCTGCCTCACTCCAATCCAATTCATGAATAAGTCAAGACATTATCCTGCGATGGCACTGGTCCTTTCTGAAAAACGAAGGATGAACAACTCCCCTTTACATATTCTATGATTCAGTGATGCTGGTCTCCTAGCTATTTCCTTTTTTTTTTCTTTTGAACTTTTAAAAAAATTATTGAACAGCCATCTTTTGTCTTGTATTGTTGTTAGCATGGTGCCTGGCACAGAGTAGGTGCTTAATAAATGTTTATTAACTAATTATAAATAATTTAACATTCTAGTGAAAAGCAAAAAGAAGTTGCATTTTATGGATTGTTGTTGTTCAGTCATTTCAGTCATTTCCAACTCATCAAAAACCCGTTTGGGGTTTTTGTGGCAAAGATACTGAAGTGGTTTGCCACTTCTCTAACCTATATTACAGATGAGGAAACTGAAGCAAATGGGTGAAATGACTTGCCTAGAGTCACACAGCTAGTAAGTGTCTGAGGCCAGATTTGAACTAAGGTCTTCCTGACTCCAGGACCAGTGGTGTGCCACCTAGATAGTTCATTCTTCTGTTTGGAAAAAGTTGCAGTTTGCAAGGTGGAATCTTACCAGTCTTTACTGCAATGTGAATTATAATAATAATAATAATAATTTTATAATTAATTAATATTATCAATCAATCAATTAATTAAATGACAATTTTACATGCAATTTTGATTTGTTTTTCATAGGTTCTTTAAATTTTTATTGTATATGTTCTTTAAGAATAAATGTTTGATTTACCTATTTCAGAGACAGCTAGGTAGTGCCGTGGATAGAGCTCTGGGTCTAGTCATGAAGATCTGAAGTTAAATCTGGCCTCAGACACTTATTAGCTGTGTGACCCTGGACAAGTCACCTAACCTCTATTTGTCTCAATTTCCTCAATTATAAAATCGGTTATGCACTTACCTCTCAGGGCTGTTGTGTGGATTGGATGGTATCACATCTATAAAGCACTTAGCACAGAGCCTGACCCATGGTTGGGTCTTAATAAATGCTCATTCACTTCTCCTTCCCCGCTTTACCCAGCTAAGTCCAGAGGGTGGGTTCATTTTCTTAAAATCAAAACAAAAACAAAAACAAACAAACAACTGCTTCATACAGCATAAGCCACGCATCACCCATTAGACAATGTCCTCTCTGCTGTATTGAATTCCAGGCATTCGTTAAGGTTCGATTCCAGGTACTCTCACTCTTCCACGCCTGGTCTCCATGCTGCCATCTCTGGAGGTGAAGGGCTATCCCACCGTGTCTCCAAGGCTGGAGCCAAGCGCTTGAGGCCCAGGAGGTGTCTTCTCAAGCTTTATGGACCAGAGAATATCTAGGGCACCCCCTGGCAGCCGTTTGTTGTTGTTCAGTCATCTCAGTCGCCTCTGACTCTTGGTGACCTCATTTGATGTTTTCTTGGCAAAGATACTGGAGTGGTTTGCCATTAGCACCTCTCAGTGGCAGGCCTGCTTCTAATTCTACTGTTCTCTGGCCTGTCCTCCAAAACAGTGAAACATTCAAAGGGGTAGAAGAAGACTCAGGCTGCTGGGAAGACTTCCTTTTATATGTCTAGCACAAAGGCGTAGTAGGTCAACAAGCGTTTATTAAGTGTCACTCACTTTGCTGAGGAATAAGGATACAAAGAAAGGCAAAGAACAATTCCCACTCCTAAGGGACTCATAGTCTATTGGGACAGGCAATAGGCAGACTAGATGAACAGTGTATGTTGATAACTCCAGAAGGATGGTGCAACATTAAGCACTGGGAAAGGTTTACTGTAGAAGGTGGAAGTTTAACTGGGACTTGAAGGAAGACAGGGAAGCAAGGAGGTAAAGATGAGGAAGAGAAAGCTCCAGGCATGGGGCATAGCCCAAGAAAATGCCTAGAGTCTAGAGCCAGAGGGTTTGTTTAGAGAATAGCAAGGAGGGGGCAGCTAGGTGGTACATTGGATAGAGCACTTGCTTGGAATCAGGAAGACTCGTCTTCCTGAGTTCAGATCTGGCTTCAGACACTCACTAGTGGCCCTGGGCAAGTCACTTAACTCTGCTTGCCTCAGTTTCCTCACCTGTAATATGAGCTGGAGAAGGAAATGGCAAACCACTCCAGTATCTTTGCCAAGAAAACCCCAAATGGGGTCACCAAGAATCAGACATGACCGAAAAAATGACTCAACAACAACGATCCATAAAATGCAACTTCTTTTTTCTGTTAACTACAATGTTAAATTTTTTATGATGTCAGTAAAAATTCATTAAGCACCTACTCTGTGCCAGGCACTGTGCATATTGAGAAACACAGTGAGAAAGTGTTTGAGGCCAGATTTGAATTCAGGAAGGTGAGTCTTCCTATTTTCAGGCCATTTATCCACTTCACCACCTAGCTGCCCATTGGCTATAGTTTAATAACAATCAGTTCAGGTAAATTGTGGTTTCATGTAAGCAGATGAGAGTGGACTGTCCAAATACAAAAGTATATGTTCTTAAGGAATTAGAAATACTAGGGAATAGATGTTGAGTTCATGGGACAAGTTCCCAAGCTATTATTCAGACATGAAATATTCATATTAACATATGGATATATATATAAATATAATATATATGATTTTGTTTTCTTTAGATTTCATTTCTTCTATTATAATTTCTTTTAGAAAACAACAAAAACAAAAACCAACAAAAAACTGGCCCATCTTGCATAGGGAAGGGTTTAGGATATTGCACCCGCCACACTTCCTTTGGTGCCATCCATAGTACCCATCTCACAGAGCTGTTATGAGAATCAAATCATGCCCGTTATATACTGTGAAGGGCTATCTAAATGTTAGAGGCAATGTGATCTTGGAGTTTGGAAGATTTTATATATATAAAATTATATATATATATATATAACTGGCCTCCCTTTTCCAAATGAGTCACTTTTCTCTCTCCTTTCCCCACCCAAAGGTGCTGAATAAATGTTAGAATGAGACCTTAAAAGCCAGCTAGTCTAGTCCCTTCTCCTACTCTGATGGTTTGAGATCTTTCTAGGAAGGGAGTTATTACTGATCAGAGAAATGTCTAGATGGACAGCTGGTGGGAGAGGCAGATTTGGCATGAATTCAAAGCAGTGTGCTCACCCTATAGGTTCTAAACCCTAACCACACCTGGTCCTTTGTTCAGCTGAGTGGAGCAGATAGGATGAGAATGGGGGCTCCTCTCCAGAGGGACCCTTGTCCTGTCTCTATCAATCTACCTCACACCGGTTCCTAAGGAGGTAGTAACAGCACCTTGTTCAGTGCTGGTGAAGAAGCCAGGATCCTGTTAGATGGGGAGGGAGGGACCTCTCCCTCTCTTTATCACCCCCTCATTTCCCCTCTGCCTCTCTTAATGGCCCTTTCCTTTTCCCTCCCCTCCTTCTTCCCAGGCAGTAATATAAGCCCCAGGAGGAAAGAACCCAGGAGGAAGTCAGCTGGACCCAGCAAACAGCTAAAACCCCTACACTAACTCCATTCTTACTTTATCTCCTTCTTGCTCCCAACCTCCCATATTAATACTGTGAGTACTTAAACAAGGTACAAGCAAGGGAGGGTTTGGGGTCAGTGGGAAGGGGTGGTGGAAGGAGACCACTATCTCCAAGGAAGTGAAGAAAACTGAGAGTGGGATGGCAGGAGATAGAACACTTAGCTCTGAGAGTTGGGAGACCAGGAGAGTAATGAGAGGAACTGGGACTGAGGAGGGTACCTGGGTCTGAGACTGCTCCATTAACTAAACAGGGGCAAGAGGAGGGGAGTCTGTAATAGAGGGTAGGGTGGTGTGGGGATAGAGGATCTGGATGGTCCTCTTAGAGCTCCCTACATCTGAGGGTCTTGCCCTGTCTGGTCTGAGGAGGGAATAAGGAGAATGGTATCAGAGGCTGGCAAGGTTGTGGTAAGAACGGCAGAAGAATGCCTTAGCCCAGCCATGGCTGGCTCTTTACTCACAGGGTCCTCTCCTTCCTCCTGATAACAAGGCTTCTGTAGGTCGAGGGTAGGGAAGAGGCAGGGGAGTGATGGGGAGGTGGGCCAGTAAGTCAATTCCCACAGCACTGGAGTGTACAGTCTGGGATTGGGAAAACACCAGAAGTGGGTGTGTTTGGGAGTGTATTTAGGTGTCTGTTCCTAAGGCTGCATAAGTGTTTGCTATGACCTGTGTGACCTTGGACAAATTAGTTCTCTCTGAGCCTCAGTTGCCTGATCTGTAAAATGAGAGGGTTGGATTCTAAGGTCCCTCGCAGCTCTGAATCCTAAAATGCTTTGGCTGCTTCTAGGGGTCTTCGAGAGAGCGAACGGGGAGGGAAGTTGGGAAGGTGAAGGGAGAGATGTGGTGGGGAGACTGAGGCTACCCCCTCCCTCTCCCTCTGCAGATGATGACTATTCGGAGGCCATGGACGATCTCGGCTGCAGCGCTGCTGGCTCTGCTGGTCTGCCTAGGGGCTCTGGTGGAGGGCTACCCGTCCAAGCCTAACGCCCCGAGAAAGGACGCTTCCCCAGAGGAGCTCAGTCGCTACTACGCTGCCCTTAGGCAGTATCTCAATTTGGTCACCAGGCAGCGGTGAGGATCCAAAGCTGTGTACCCGGAATGTGTGTGTGTGTGTGTGTGTGTGTGTGTGTGTGTGTGTGTGTGTGTGTGTGTGTGTGTGTGTGTGTACGCCCCAGGTACACTCCGCACCTTTGCTTGGCTTCTCTCTTGCCAGCCATGGAGGAAGGAATAGTGGGCGGATGAGACAAGGCGGGACATACTTTGAGGCCACCTCCAGCATCTCTTCACTAACCTCAACTCTCACCCGTCACTCTTGGGCTCTGGGGCAACTACCGTCCCCCAAGATCTCCAGACAGGGTAGCACCACCAACCCTCTCACTGTGAAAACGAGAGCAAGGGGCGGGATTAGCGCTGACCCTTCCCCTCACCTGGCTCTTCTTGCCCTACCTCTAGGTATGGGAAGAGAGACACTACGGAAGCCAGGCTAGCTGAGAGTCTCTTTGTGGACAGCAGCGGAAACCAGTACAGCAAGTCTGGGTGAATTCACCCCCTCCTCCTAGACCATCTTTACTTCTTCCCTCCCCGAACCACCATCTATTAGATTATAAGTTCCTTGAGGGCCAGGGTCTTGTCTAGTTATCTCTGGCGCTTAGCACAGGACCTTGCACAAGAGAGGCTTTATGTAGGTTTGTTGAACGACTGGTGCCTCCTTTTCCCCTTTCGCCTCTGAAGAACTCCTGTGGTTTTCTAGACTATTTATTTATCCTTTGGTTCTAGGAGCAATCATTAAGTAACTACACTGTGGAATGCCCTGTGGCAAGCAATAGAGGAGATATGAGGCTAAGACGTGGTCCCTTCTAGGAATTAGAAGGAGTCGATTCTCTGCCTTCATTTTCTGAGCCTCACCTCCTTTCTCCATTCCTCCTTTCCCCAAAACCAGGATTCTGTATTTCTGCCCTGCTGGCTCTTGCCTCCTCCTTATAACCCAATCTCTTCCTTTGGCCAGTCTCAGATGGTAATCAAAACTGCTCATCTCTGATCAGCTCATCCCTTAATAAAGGATTCTCCCCATTCTCCCCAGGGTATACATACATCCCCTAAATCTTGGCTGGGAAGCATACTCCGTCTTCCTCCTCCCTTCCAGGTCAGAAGAGCCTTTTGTTTGGTGATAGTTCCACCTTCAGATTGATCTCATTTGCACAGCAGAACACTTCCCACAAGGCCAGGATACTGCTGAAACTCTTATCCTTCCACTCTTGGGGCAGACCTGTGGGCTTCCCGTTTGGCAAGCTCTAAGTCCTTCACCTCTGCACCTGCAGAAGGGATATAGATGACCACTTCCTTGTTCCTTAATAAAAAGCAAGTTTTGTGGAAACAATGTGTCTGTCTCCTTTTTGTGCCTTCCACTGGTCCTTCTCACTTGGTCTTTGGCTCCCTGTGCTAGAGGAGATAGATGTCAGAGAAGCCTGAGCTCACCAGGCTGAAGCAGGCTGAAGGAGTGGGGACTCAGTTGCAACCAGAGAAAGTTGAGGTTGCCCTCAGTCAGTCAGCCGATCAGTGACATTCGGTACCCCCCCTGGGTGCAGAGCTGGCTCTTAAAGCATGAAGGAGGGGGGAAATCTGTGTAAAGGGGAGATAGAGCTCTTTCTTCTGATAAGAGTAGATAGTGTCCCTTCCCCTTCCCCTCCAGCTCCCACTCTAACAGCTACCAACACTATTTCTTCCTTCTGAGAGCTCTCAGCCTGATAGTATACACACAGATCCTGACCTCGGTCAACTCTTAGTTTGACCAAGAAGACATATGCCCAGATCTCAGGAAATGAGAGGCAAGGACAGACTGTCCAGTAAAATAAAATTCTGGAAATCAAGTGTGGGGGAATAGGAAGGGGATTGAAGGAAGGCAAAGCAAGGTAAGTAGAGTTTGAGAGCTTTCCTGGAGGAGGGGAGGATTGAGAGAGGAATGGAGAGTGCTCTAAGCCTATAGGGGAAGAGCTTTCTGAAGGTTTAGAGGGGATGGGGGATGGAGTATGGAATGCCTGTTTAGAGAAGGTGAATAAGAGGAGCTATGGGACTAGGAGGGGTAAGGGAATGTCAACAGATGCCTGGCAGTTGGGGGTGCGGGGCAAAGATGAGACTGAGATCAAATAGGGGCTGCACAGCATGTGTTCTTATGAGGCTGCTTGAGAGGTAGGTAGATGAGACAGGAGAGGGAGGGAGAGGAAATGAAGGGATTATCTAACTCCCGTCCCCTCACACAGCCTCTACTCTAGTTCAGATCCTTGTCACCACTCACCTGGATATTGCAAGAGCCTGTTGTTCTTCTTGCCTCAAGTCTCTTCCCTTTCCAATCTATTCTACTTAAGGCTGCCAAAGTGATATTACTAAAACATAGGTTAAGGCATGGTGCACCCCTGCTCAAAAAATTTCAATGGCTCCCTATTGCCTTGAGGATCAAATCCAAATACTTCTGTCCAAGACATAAAAGCCCTCCACACTGTCTGTAGATTTCTAAGCTGATCACACCATATTCCCCTCTACATAATCTACAATCCAAAGAAAGTGGCCTATTTGCTCTTGCCTTATATGGCAATGCATCTCTTATCTTGATGCTTTTATTGCCAAGGTTATCCCCTATGCCTGGAATTCCCTCCTTCCTCACTTGCTCCTCTTAGAATTCTTACCTTCCTTCACAATTCAGCTCAAACACCATCTTCTCCTATGTGAGACTATTCCTGATCCCATCCCACCCCCTGGAAGCTGCTAGTGTCTCCCAAAATTATCTTGTGTATATATTTGTATTGTGTATCTGTTATATTTTTGTGTGGGTGTGCATAAATATCAATATATGTACACACATTTATATACATACCTATGTGTATGTATATACACAAGTACATATATTTGTATATGTACAGATGTATATATGTTATATATAATATAAAACATGTTATATATCATAGTAGGGGAAACAACATATATATGGGTATGTATGTTTGTGTATATGTATATATGTACACACACACACACGTATGTTGTTTTCCCTACTCTAATGTAAGCTTCTTGAGGGCAGGGACTTCTTAATTTTAGTCTTTGTATCTCCAGCACCTAAAACAGTGCCTGGCACGTAGGAGGGACTTAATCAATGCTCTTTGGTTGATTTTCCATCTCCTAGCCTCTTGACAGGCTGAACATCTCATTGGTCTGAGAGAGAAGCTAGAGAGAGGGCCAGCTAGGTGGCATAGTGGATAGAGCACTGGACCTGGAGTCAGGAGGACCTGAGTTCAAATCTGACCTCAGACATATAATACTCACTAGCTGTGTGACTCTGGGCAAGTCACATAACTGCAGCAGCCTCACACACAAAAAAAAGGTAGGGGAAGGGGTTCAATACTCTCAGGAAGGAATCTCCCCAGTTCTACTTAGTTTCACTTCTGATTAAGTCTGTAGATTAATCTCACTAAATTAATAAATAATAATAATTAATAAATAATTACCACTATTGTTTATTTGAATTCCTAGCCCTCCTAACCCTAGTACCCCTCACAAGATAGTTCCCATATGGGTCCTAATCCAAGAAAGGGCCCCAATATCAGGCAGGTGAGAGCTAGGGGGAATTTTAGGGGGAAGGGGAAAATTTATTTAGAATTAAATGTTAGCAAATGATGAAGTTGCCTCTTGTCATCATCTTCAGCTGCAGGAGGAATAATACTTCAGAGCTATTTTGAGCTGAAATGAGCCTGGGAGACTCAGTGATAAGGTGCCAATTGTTACCAAGGAGTGAATCACCTCCAAATCCATCACTACATTAGGTATTCAGGGTTAACCTTTCTGAAGAGCATCTATCCATTGTGACTGATCAGTAGGACCCACATACCATAAAGTAGTTCCAAGAATGACCCTTGCCCCTAATCACAGAATTGCTTTCTTCCTCTGAAAATGGAGGGATTAGGAATGCCACTGTGGTATAAGAAATGATGAGCTGGTTGATTTTAGAAAAATATGTAAAGACTTTCATGAAGTAATGAAGAGTGAAATGAGAAGAACCAAGAAAACATTTTACACAGTAACAGCAGTACTATTCTAAGAACAGCTTTGAATGCGTAAGTCATTTTGAGTAGTAGAAATATTCAAGTGACTTGCTTGAGCTCTCCCCCAAACCCCTAGAAATACCTATAAAAAATGGCTCCAAACAAATTCTAAAGCAGTAGAACCCACTAAAAAGACAGAGTGAAACAAATTTTCAGCAATGGATGGTTGATCAGAAAGGTGTATCACACTGGGTGGGTAGAGGAACGCAGTTCCATATGGGCACGCAGGCCTCAGCTAACCTGGAGCAGGCCTCAGAGGACTGAATCACAGGTAGCTATGGCAGTTTCTAGACTTCTTAACCCATGAACACCAAAGACAACTGAGGAGGTCAGTGGGAAAAGTGTGTTTCTGCAGGGAGAGAGAAGCATGGTGGAGTTCCAGCCCCATTCACAAGTTTGGCTCCTGGAAGGTGGGTGCCTCCTGAGCTTCAGGCCCAGACTGAGGGGGAATCCAGTGGCTGATCAGAGGGGGATTGCAGGGATATTTTTGCCAGTGCTGAGGCAAGAATCTCTTACTTTGCCCGAGCTTGGATCTGTCACAGTTCTGAGGGGCGGTCCTGAAGCGAGGAAGAGCAGTGCTGGTGTGGTGGAGCTTGTAGTGGTGGTACAGAGAAAATCCTCATCACAGTTCCAAGATAGAAAAGATGCTTGTGATCACTCATAGACCAGAGCACAGACTAGGAAAGAACTGTGAAGAGAAATGAGAGTGATGCAAGAAAATCATGAAAAACAAGTCAACAGATTGCTAAGGGAGACCCCAAAAAATACTGAAGAAAACAACACCTTAAAAAATAGCCTAACCCAAATGGCAAAAGAGGTCCAAAAAGCCAATGAGGAGAAGAACGCCCTAAAAAGAAAAATTGGCCAAATGGAAAAGGAAGTCCAAAAGCTTACTGAAGAAAATACTTCCTTAAAAATTAGAATGGAGCAATTGGAAGCTAGTGACTTTATGAGAAATCAAGACATTGTAAAACAAATCCAAAAGAATGAAAAATTAGAAAACAATGTGAAATATCTCATTGGAAAAACAACTGACCTGGAAAATAGATCCAGGAGAGAGAACTTAAAAATTATTGGACTATCTGAAAGCCATGATCAAAAAAAGAGCCTAGAAATCATCTTTCAAGAAATTATCAAGGAAAACTGCCCTGATATTTTAGAACCAGAGGGCAAAATAGAAATTGAAAGAATCCACCAATCACCTCCTGAAAGAGATCCCCAAAGGAAAACTCCTAGGAATATTATAGCCAAATTCCAGAATTCCCAGGTCAAGGAGAAAATATTGCAAGCAGCCAGAAAGAAACAATAGAAGTACTGTGGAAACACAATCAGGCTAACACACGATTTAGCAGGTTCTACATTAAGTAACTGATGGGCATGGAATATAGTATTCCGGAGGGCAAAGGAGATAGGATTACAACCAAAAATCACCTACCCAGCAAAACTGAGTATAATCCTTCAGGGGCAAAAATGGTCATTCAGTGAAATAGAGGACTTTCAAGTATTCTTGATGAAAACACCAGAGATGAATAGAAAATTTGACTTTCAAATGCAAGACTCAAGTGGAACATGAAGAGGTAAACAGGAAAGAGAAATCGTAAGAGACTTATTAAGGTTGAACTGTTTACATTCCTGCATGGAAAGATGATATTTATAACTCATGAGACCTTTGTCAGTATTATGGTAGTCTGAGGGAAAAAAATTATATGTATGTATATGTATATCTATCTATCTATCTAGATATAGATATAGATATAGATATAGGTATAGATATAGATATAGATATATAGAGGGCACAGGGTGAGTTGAAGATGAAGGGGTCATATCTGGAGAATAAAATTAAGGGGTGAGAGAGGATTATACTGGGAGAAGGAGAAAGGGAGAGGTAGAACAGGGTAATTTATCTCACAAAAAGACAGAAAAGAAAAGTTTCTTACAGTGGAGGGGAAACAGGTGAAGGTGAGAGGGAATGAGTGAATCTTATTTTCATAGGATTTTGCTTAAGGAGGGAATGATATACATACTCAATTGGGTATGGAAATATGTCTTACCCTACAGGAATATAGGAGGAGAAGGCGACAAGAGAGCAGGGGAATGATAGAGAGGAGGGCAGATTGGGAAAGGGGGTAATCAGAAGCAAACACTTCCGAGGAGGGTCAGGGTCAAAAGAAAGAATAGAATAAATCACGGAGGGTAGGATTAAGGGAAATAGAGTTAGTTTTTCACAACATGACTACT